TCTTTGTTTAAAGTTATAACCTAAGCGCTTGTGCCAAAGAGTAGCAGAATTCTCATTTAATTTTTGTTTTGTACCTCGTGCACTAGAGTCTAAAATTTCATTATTAAAAATAACAGTATCAAGCACGTAAAGATTATCAATTAAAGAACCAATACCAATAACATTTTAATTTAGAAAAAGACTAACTTTATTATTTCCAAAGGAAGAAAAATAACCATATTTGTACAAACTAGAAATTGAAACCAAATTTCGTTTAAATGACGGTGCAACATAAGTCTCAAATTAAATCCAAATAAACATCATCGATCTTTAATAATAATCTAAAATTTATGATTGGTTCTACTGAAACTTCCTTGCCATTGCCCACAAAGATGTATCTTTCAGCATAATTTGGCGGTCGGCTCCATAGGAAACCCTGCATAGACATACTTATGTGAGTATTAGCACCAGAATCTACCCACCATGTATCCTTAGATACAGAAGCAGATACAAAAAAGAGAGTCTTACACTTCCTTTCACACCATGTGGCATACTTGGAACATTCTTTTTTCACGTGTCCAGTCTTCTTGCAAAAATAGCAGATAAATACCTTATTTTGTTTCTTTTGCTTCTTTAACGTGAGTGATTTATATGCAGTGTCCTTAGCTCTCTTCCTTTTCTCATTATAAGAGGTTGATGCCTTCGTCTCTTTCTCTTGGAAATTCAGTCCCAAACATCCCTTAAAAGAAACATGTATCAAGAAAATGGCTCCATTCTCCTCCTTCCCACAAGAAGTAATATTCTACTAAGAAACTTATCTAGAATGGCCTAAGCTGTGTTGTGACTTGTGATGGGATCAAGCCCCACGTACTGATAAGTTTTCTCTGTATGAAATTCTTTTTATGTTTCTCCTTTTCTTTGGCTAATCATAATGTTGTTCTTATCCGATCAATGTTTTTCTTAACTTAATTATCCACTTGATTAGATTGTTGTAACACCCCGTATATATCCGGTAATGTTATCATAATATCGTATTAAGCTGCGCTTAATTAAAATGCGAAATTACTTTTTCTTTTCAATTATGATGCCATTAACATTACCAATCTTGCTTAATAATCAATTAATAAAACATCGCCTGTATGTAATTGCAATAAAACAGCTAACTGAAATACCTCATGACATAGATAATATAGTTGTGGCTCTAGTCACAGAACTACAACAATGTAGACCGGACCATCTAACAATTTATACAACTCCAATCTAAAATACTAGCATAAAGTGTCATGGACAAACCCCATGCCCACTCAAATAAGGCAACATGCCCAACATCAGTCTCAACAACATCATATCATAAATAGCAGAAATATAAACAGCATCCAAATCCAGTCATGCTAACAAATAAGCAGAAACAACATAATCAGCTAAGCTCCGGCCTCCCGCCGCCTGAGGCATCAGTACCCATACTACCTGATCCTGAAATAAGCATTCCCCAAACGTGGGGTAAGATCTCTAATCTAGAAATCTCAGTAAGTCAGTGAGTCCTCAAGGATCTTCCACCCCAAGCTCACTTACATGTGCAATATAAGTTCAAAAGCAGTTTATCATTTATCATTTCTAAAACAATGCAATGCAGCAGATAATCATGCCATGTGTGTCAATACTAATCTACTGGCCAGAGACAGTGCAAGTATACGTCTATCACCTACACACCGTGCAAGTACCACTTGCATTCACCCCGGTACACCGTCTTGTATGGCGCTACATACTCAGGCTTCCCGTCAAGATGAAACAACACATGCATATTAAAAGCCATTACATGTAAAGTTCAATCAACATATCAAATATCCAAAAGCATGTACACATCATGCATAAACCATACCTCCATGGGACATGGTGGAACCACAACATGGCTAAACCGAGGACACGAAAGCTTACCTTGCAAGCTAACTCCAAAAGCCAAGAGTCCACAGCTCAAAGTCCAAACACAGTAGATTCACAATCTGTTATGGACCAATACTATATCAATAATAATGCAACACAAGCATATAACTTAAAGACAACGCCTTTCCTTACGTTTTACGTCTTAAGGTTCAACACCAAGCCATAAGTCCTTAATCACTTAATTCTGACTTAGTTCATTAATTACAGAAGTTCAACTTCATCAATCTAGGGTCCACAAACCCCCAATAGCCTACTGTACACACAGCACAGCTACTGTTCTACGAAATCCCAGAATATCCGGATATTCCTCGGGACCATATCCGGATATGCAATATCCGGATATCTCACTGGACGTATCCGGATATGCAATATCCGGATATCCAGAATCCCATATCCGGATACCTAGTATCCGGATACTCAAAACCCATATCCGGATATCACATATCCGGATATTCATCGGGCACATATCCGGATATTTCACGACAGAATGCAGAAAATGCATTTCGTGAAGATATCCTTCCATGGTTAGGTTTTTAACGATTTAAAGCACCTAAACATGCATTTCTAGGTGTGTTCAACATTACCCCACAACAAGTTATCATCTTTAAGTTTTAACATGCATCAAGCTTTCATTTTTAAGTTTAAAGACTCAAGACCAAAGGTTACAAGGCTTACCAAAGCTCAAAACAGAGGTTGGAGGTGCTCTTGGAGCTCACAATCAGCTCCCAAGGTGCTGACTTCAAGGGTGTACGAAAATACCACCCAAGCAAGGATCTTTCTTCACAAATGAAGCTCCTTGAAGCCTCACAAGCCAAGCACAACACTCCTCAACAAGAATGCCACCAAACCAAAAAACACCTCAGGTCCCACAGCCACCACAACTCAGAAAAGGTGCTCCTTTCACACTCACAATGACCACTCACACAAGGCTCAAGTGCTTGGAGGTGAAGAAACCAAGCAAAATTGACACTTGATCTCCAAAATGGTGAAGAAAGCTCAATGGAACAGTAGCAACTGACCAGCCACTCCAGCATTCACGTAGCAACAGAAAACCTAGGGCTTTGTTCCCTTAACAAGGGTATTTATAGCCACTTACCCAATTAACACACAATATTAACTTTAATTGCTACGCTTAGCATCTTAATCCCAAACTTTGGATTATGAAACTGCATAATTTTCTAAGATTTATCATATTTTTCTTATAATTTTCTGAGCACTTTTCCAGTACGCGCTTTTCCAAGCCAGTACCGGTTTCTAGCACCAGTTCTCATTATCTGAACTTGAAACTCGTCTTACAAGTCCTACATATTATTATAGTAATTATCATGCACTTACATTAATTTTCCGGGATACTTTTTCGGCACGCATTTATACCGACTAGCAGAACCGGTATCTGCACTTTTCTTCCGAAAAGCGACTTTCATCATTATTACTCACTTACTATAATTATTAAAGCCTCATAATAATTATTAGAGTCAATTATGGAATCATTTCCTAATTTCGCATAATTAATTAATTAAATACCTTGATTAACGGTGCGGGTTCTTACAATTGTCGTTGTCATGGATTGGAATGCTAGATTTATCTGAACTTAGTGGATTTGGTACTGCACGTTTTTATCGGCATGGGGCCATCTTGGGCCAGTAATCCACAAAAATTGATTAAGTCCTTTGTTAGTTGAAATATATCAAATTGAAGCCTACCAAGTGGATTTTCTGATTTTATAGTTTACAGCCCAACCTCCCACATCAACCAGCAGAAGGCACATAATCAGTGCTCTAAAGTTGGGGTTCAGCTCAGAACTATGACCCTTTTTTTATTTTTGGATGACCATCCTTCTGGATTTACAAAGAAATTCATGTTAACATGTTCCCCAGATGTTTGAATGATAGAAAGAAATTAAAGTCATGATATTAGGGTTAGTTTTACCTCTTTGAAATTACAAAGAATTTATTAAAATATTACACAATCTAATTTTTACAATGTTATATGATATATTTCTTTATTAAGTTTTGGTGTAGAAAAACCTAAGTAGCTTTATCGATGAGGAAAATTCACACTGGGATTGTTGTTCTAAGATGAGTCTTGCCTTAAGAAACTCTTAAAAGGGCAGATTGTATTCTGAAATAATGTTGTTATTCAGTTAAAGAAGTTATACGAACTGAAATTATGCATCATTTTTTTTCCAGTCGTTTAGCAGAGCAGAGTTTAGAGACAAAGCAGGTTTGGAATAAATCATTTTCAATAGTCTTGGAAGCTTACAGTGGGACAATAGGTCAATAATATAAAGAAAATACTACTCTCATTTCACATGAGATAATTATCTCATTTTATCTCACTTCGAAAATCGTACCTCTTCTTTTTTTCTTTTTCTTTTTTGCTTTTTAATAGTAGATCCTCTCTATAGCACGAGAGAGCTACTCCCATGTAACATGAGACTAATATTCCTCGTAATATAATCTCTTGAACTGAATTGATAGAAAAACATGTAATGAATTTAATAATAGAAATAACTTAACCAATGCAGTGACATGGCTTAATGCTTGTTTGGGAAGTCTTTTTTTAGCTTATAAATAAAAACTAGACCAAACAAATTTTTACAAAAGCTCTTGTAATAAAAAAAATTTACAAAAGATTTTTTTCAAGTTGTATCAAATTTTTTAAAAAAATGAATAACTTTTAAGCTAAAAATTTTATATATTCATCAAACAACATATAACTATATTTTTAAAACTCTTTTTTAGCTTTAGTTTAATAGTAACTTTTAACTTAAAAAAAGAAGAAGTACCAAACAACCTCTTAATAGTTAACATTGCACACATTTTTCTTCATTTCTCTACCGGATTCAAGTCCCAATAATGTTAATTCTGGTAAAATATTTTACAAAAATTTCCAACCGGTCCGGTTTTAATGGAAATCTATATCCATTTTTATGCCTATGCTTTTACAATCTTTCCAACGTAACCCTGAAGATGCATGATGCAGGAGCACTTTTCATACAGAAAAACCATCGAACTGAAGCAGCACAGGTTATAGAATAACAAACTATAGCAATATGCACTACAAAATTGGTAAGTCCATCTTTGAATTATCTACCAAAAGTCAATAAATGTTCAGAGCAAGGATGAGTATAGCAATAAAAAAATTATGTACAAAGACCATTATCTAGTTATTTACAAATTTTTAAGGGGGGAGCTTGTCTTGTTTTGAAACTGTTTACCCAAACACGACATTCCTCCAAAAGCTTTAACGAGGTTCAAAATCCAACATAATCCTCGACCACACTAAATCCATGAAATAAAACTCTCTATTCATCAGTAACATCAGATGGCAGCCTATATGTGCGGATGACTCGAATCTGAAGCAAAAACAAAGAAAGTGGAAGTCAGAAAACAAGTGGCTAATGCTTCATAGCAATAATAATTCTTTGACATTGTCTCAATATCACTTGTACACTTCTACATGAAAATTATGATTCAAAAGGTGCACGACAACAAAATTAAATTTTTCTCCAAAAACTAAAACTCAACAGGACATCCATGTATGACAGGCCCTGACTCAATGAGAAACATGATGGTCTAAAATAACCACGTTACTGTGCACATGGAATAGATAGTTATACCAATATCATCCTTTGCCCCAAAGATCAACAATTATCTCATTTGAGAGACAACTTTGTAAAATTAAAAAAGAGAGTAGATCGAAGACCACAAGGCTTTAAATAGCTCACCATATAAGGACAATATAGAGCAAATCATATCAAGTTGGGCAGGCAGGTAAACCCAGGATCCGGCAAGGGTGTAGCCATGAAATGGAAGAACAGAGCATATATATTACCTGAGCCAAAGCATAAATTGTTCGCAAGATTCTAGCATAATCTGTTCCAAGCATTTGAATGACAAGATCAGCCAAAAATGTTCCCCATAGCCTGTTCCACATGCCAAATAAATGGTCAGAAATACTCACTACTGTGCCTCAGGTAGTAGCAAAATCTGAAAGCAAAGAGGAAATAGAAATGCTACGTACAAGTCTTAGTGGTGCATTGCATTAAAAAAGATACACTTAATAGAAAGCAGTCTAATGACTGCTGACACTGGAGGAAATTGAAAAATGGCCCCAATGGACTAGGAGAGAAATAAAAACAAAGCTTAGATGGTACTTCAAGATGCAAGAAAAAATATGGTAAAACTTAATCTGTAAAGAAGCACCAGATTATTTCTGACACTTAAAAAGGACAAAAGGTTTTTTCTTTCATTCTTAGATCCACGCCCCACCAAAAATTCCAAGGATAGAACACAGGGATTCAGAGATTGCACAAGAACATCTAAGAAAAGTCCAATTTCTCTTCAACCAACTGAAAAAAATCAGACTCTGGGTTCGTAGCAGGACAAAATAATGCACACCAATTTGGACAAAGATATTCCATATTCCACACTAGGATTATTCTTCCTGGCTCCTTTCTATGTTCAATTACTCACAAAGAAAATTAAAACAGGTTTTATTTTTGGGTGCTACAGAGGTAAGCTAAACTGATGACTAAACTAACTAGAAAAACAGAAAGTTACATGTTACTCACAAAGCAGCGTTTGTGAGAGAGGGAAGAAGGAGTTGTACAAATTCGAGCATTGCAAAGCCAAATAGCATTTAATTTTTTATTTTATTTTATTTTTTGTTGGGGGGGGGGGGGGGGGGGTGAGGAAACTCAGTTTCCTTCATGCACAATCTCGTAAAAAGAACCTACCATGTAGACTGGTAATCATGATTAAGTCTATACTCTCATAGGGTAAATGCTGGTTACAATTCTTCATCATGAACCTTGGGTTGAGCTTTTCTCCTTTGTTTTATTGAATTTTACTTTAGTTTTACATTATGTGATGCCACCAACCCCAACTAGTTTGGGATAAAGGTGGTTTTGATGTTAATTTTTCATTAAGTGATGGTTGTGTTAATTGTGTGTTTCTGGATATGTTTTAATTAAATTCTTGTATGAACTTTCATGTCATTTGATTAGTGTTGCTTGTTAATTTAGGACATTTAAGATTGAAGGCGATTGGTGAAGGCTGGTATGAGGGCAAGAAAGAGAAGATCAGCTGAAAGTTCAAGGACTTGGAAGAAAAGCAAACTGTGCTCTCGACGCCTGAGCACTGGCTGTGAAAAAGGCAAATACTCTGAGTCTCAGTATAATCAGTGTCTTGAGCACTGGTTAATGCGCGCTTAAGTGCTGGACACGCGCTTGAGTGATGAGGAGTCAATGCTTGAGCTTTATTTGCACATTTGAAGCATACGCACTGGACCATCAGTGCATGAGTGTTGAGATATAACTCTTCAGCGGTGACAATTATTTTGGATTGAATTTAAAACACAAGGAAAGAATCAGAAGTACACTATCTAACCCTTGGAGGCAAAGTAAGACCTAGAGATCAGATTTGGCCAAGGAAGAAGATCTTGCTTGTGTAAGTGCTACTGTCTTGAGTACAGAAAATGAACAGATGCATTCATATGGTCAACAAAAATAGACCTAATAAACTCTTCCATCCAGAATGTGAGCAAGCCATGAAGCTGGTATTTACATCAATATCTAAATATATCAATATCAACATTACTTTTATCCCAAACTAATTGAGATCGGCGGACGATGAACCCAAATAACAGCAATAACAAATTGAGGAAAAAGAAAAAATAAATAAGAAAATATATATGTGTGTGTGTGTGTGTGTGTGTGTGTGTGTGTTTGTTCTTTTTTTTTTTTGGGGGGTGAGGGGAGGACTAACAAAAGCAGTCTGGAACATACAAAAAGTATGCCAATCTATTTCCCACTTTATTAAAAAATATCTAAATATATCTCTTGAGCTTTTTTTATCAACAAAGAATTTCTTAAAAATTTATTTTGTAATTCAATATTAGACAGAAGAAACAGAAAGCAAGTTAATATTACAAAAATACAAAACTGCTAGAAATTGAAGTCATAAAACAAGATGAGGTGTAGGACATACACAGGTCCAAGTAATGTGCTCATGCTTCTAAAACCCAGATATCTTGATGCAGCACCAAGAAAACCCTGGAATACATCAAACTTCTGATGAGAAAAAAAAAAAACATAAACTGAAACACTAGTTTATTCTTGCAAATAGTCAATATAAATAAGAAAGTGACAAAGGAAATAACTACTTCGGTTTATATAACTACCAATAAATCATTTATTTTGTACTAGAACTAAATAAATTGGTAATGCTATTATGCTTAAACTGATTCAGGAATGTCAACATAAACTGGCTAAACCATGGAATTATATATTGAACTTCATTTTGATCCACTGTCCATGACTCCATGTAAAGAAATTGACACTAAGAGTGAATCAGTGCTCCCACATATTAGAAAGTCTGTCAAAATCTTGCTGCAAAATGCTTTGGTTCCTTGAATGGTGTGACAATTTTTTTATTAACTGATAGGGTATAAGGTTCTACAATGACGAAGAATCGAAATTTAAACTCATTTGAGTCATTTCATATTTGGGAATTTAACAAATGCATAAGAAGTTGAAGTTTCAAACTATTGGTTACAAGGCAATCCATTTCAGCTTCAAAAAGTTAATTCTATCTATCAATCTGGAAACAAAGTTAATAATTTCCTATCACTAAAATACATTCCTATGAAAGAATTGCATAACAATAGAAGCATATCAAATTGTCCTGTCAGGCACCTGTTTTGCTGCAAGCAGGGCTGCTGTGGATTCTAGATTAATCATAGCTAACTGTCCACCCTGGAAATCATAAAGAGCAAAATGCATGCTGAAGTTATTCTCGAGAGGTATTACTCATACAGTCATGCTACCAAAACACCCACCAGTACCAATGTTATACCTTCTTCATTAGTTCTTTCTTAACCTGGTAGTTAGCAGCTTCTACAAGCACTTTCCCAGATAATTTCCTCACTAACTACAAGTCAGCATCTAGTCATGAATAGGGTGGAAGAAGAAAGACCAAAATGCTTTCTTTTGGAGATACATTAAATATAGAGAAAAAATAAAACACAGATATTATTTTCTTACCAGTTGATATATCTTTGCCAATGTAAATACACCACCGCCCTTTAAAAGACAAAGAAAACAAAATTGGAAAGAACACACATCACCTAAAACTTAAAGATCAAATTAAAAATGGTCACATGTAAAGTGAATAATTCAAGTAACAAGTAAAACAACCTTTAAAATAATTGATCGAAAGTCTTCTGCCCCAACTCCTGACTGCACTTTCCATTGACTGAGTCCAAGTTGTAGACTGCCCCGACCGTCAGGTGCAGTGCATCCGTCCAACAAGCCTGGATCTTTGCTACAATAATATTCAAGCTTTATATGATCACCAGAGAACAATGAAAGAAGTTAAGAAAAACAAAAATGTTACTTACGTTGAATTGTAGTGCAAAAGGTGGAGGAAAATTTCTAGTTCAAGGTCTTGAGTTGACAATCGGGCGGAGCAAGGAATATTCAATTTTTTCCTAAGTTGAAGCAAAACATTTCTATAAGATGGCCTCCAACCCCTGCAAATGAATATTATATATATGAGGACGAGGATCTTAAGAGAAGTATAATAATAATAATAATAAGAAGAAGAAGAAGAAGAAAGACCTTAATGTAGAGCGTGCATCAGCGGCAAGGAAGAAAAATCGGGATTCGAGAGCTGCTATAAATTGTTGGCGTAGTTGAAGGTCGACTCCGACCATGGATCGGTCGAGGTCCTCCAGTGTAGTTGTATTTGTGAATTTGACGGATTTGAGCAAAGGACTCAAGTAGCTGATACAAAAAAGAATTGAATGTAAGTAAGTGAAAAGGGGACAAGTCACAACTCACAACTCACAAGGGGAATGAATGAATGAATGAATGAATGAATGGTTACTTATATACTACTCACTACTCACCTCGGCCCGAAAAGGATTGTTTCAATCTCATACAACTCCGACTCTGTTGCAAGTTCAAGCACCGACCGTAGCTCGGGATCAAAGGCCCCTCCCTCTTCTCCAAAACAATCATTTGAATTTGAATTTGCATTTGCATTTGCATTTGCATTTGCAGCTTTAATACAAAACCTTCTTTGATCAAAGAGCTTCCGATTGTGATAGCAATTGCGCGTAGGCGCAACCAATCCCTTTATAATAATAATAATAGATGAGTTGAGTTGAGTTGAGTTGAGTTGAGGAAAGGGTAACTCAAACTCAATTGAATTCTCCATCATGTGTGTGTATGTGTATGTATATTAACTAACAAACGAGGCAGTTAGTTCTAATATCATATCTCAATAGCAATAGAATCAGAATCAGAATTAGAACGAGAGAGAGAGAGAGAGAAGGGAAGGAACCTTACGGTTACTGGGTAAGTGCAAGTGTAATAGTAACAAAGTTTCCACCTCCAACAACCCAACCACACGTTCGGCGCCACAGTTGCGGAACTCATCTTCTTCACCTTTTCCTTCCCACTAACATTCCAACATTTCTACTCCTAGGGCTCAATTCCTCATCTCTTCCCTCTACATTCAACAATGCTCGCCAACCACACATACTAATACAAATACAATATAAAATTAAATAAATTTTATTTCCATATATAACAATCTTTTAATTATTGTCTTGTTTTCTGTTTTCACCTTTTAGTAGCAATACGCACGCATGCTTGTATTTGGTATACTCTGCTAGCGTAATCTTTTGCCCTAATCAATAGCAACGTTCCCCCTTAATATTGATTTGATGTATACCTGAATAGTTCCAAGCCTTGAGAATATGTATAGAAAAATATAGCTATTTTGATATGAGATACGGTTAGCAGGAAATCTAATATAACGTTTTGGAACAGAAATGTATTTTTATAATTTTAATTTATTTCAAAATTTTATAATTTTTATAATTATAATTATTTAATTTTTCAATTCAAAAATAAATATAAATAATTTATCTGTATTAACTGCAAATATATTATTCTATATTATATTAAAATATCAATTTTGTTAGAAATGTCTTCTTGGCTATTGTATTTACTTAAAAAAAAAAAGCAAAAATAACCCAGTTTTTCATATTTATTATCCCTTAATTAAATGAGCGTTGTCAAACATTCGATTGTTAAATCATTTAACTATCCCCTCACCAAAAAAAAAAAAAAAACATTTAACTATCTAAAAAAAACAGTTAATTTATAAATAAAACTAGGTAGACATCAGATAAGAATCAGGTGCAGTTGGTTTTTAACTGCAACTAATGCAATTATCATCCTATGCAATTATCATCCTATCCTAATGCAATTATTATCATTTAACAAATTTTATGGTGCTACTCAATCCAAAATTTTAAAATATTAGGTGAGGTTAAATTATTTATTTTGTACTTCTCTAACATATCTCTTCATGCAAGAACTTTTTTAGACTTGAAGTATGGATATGACACAAGTACATTTTTGGTCTGTCTTATACGGCATAAACCCTTTTTTTTTTGCTTTGTGTTTTTTTTTTAATTTTACCTGAAAGTGGAGGTGATAAGGATCGAACTCCTGACCTCGTGGTCACTGTAGTCTGGAGAAGCGTTCTCAGTGACAGACCGAGCCCAAGTCCCTGAAAAGGGGCGCCAAAGAGGGTGAGAGCCTCGTCGTGCCCGGACCCTATCGCACCACGAGGTGCTGTTAACGAGTCGGGTTGTTTGGGAATGCAGCCCCAATCGAGACGTAAATTCTGTCCAAGTCTAAATTATTTATTTTGTATCTGTCCAACAAAAACCAAAATTTTGAAGGGTGAGGATCTCGTAATCCATAGACATTTGATATTCACTGTTTACTATCTAATCACTAGGAATAAGAATAGCAAGACATAAGCATATAGGTAGCAGGTACTTCATTCTTTGGAACGAAGAAGCAACATATAGAAATATCAACATACAAGCAAACAAAGGTGGGCATAATTGGCTAAGGGTTTTATCTCTTATGCAGGTGTGAGTTCAAATCCCGTTGGCCGATGTGAAGACTTTTTTGGTAGGTGATATGTAATTTTTCTTGAAAATTCTCAAAGAAGTTTGGGGGTCTTCCATACCGGTGTCTAACCTCATTTAAATTTTTTATTAACTAAAAAAAATATCAAAATACAAATTACATACCATTTTGTAGTTCCATACTTTATACCATACTGCTTATGAGAAAATGAAAATGTTGGTAGTTTCACACGATACTCAGTGGCTTAGATTTTTATTTTTATTTTCCACTTAATACCATACTACTGCATCAAAATAAAATTATAATATCCCAAATAATCAAGTTACACTAATTAAAAAATAATATATAATTAGAGAGTTAATCAGATAGAGATCCTAATTTTAGGGTTAAGTGCCCATTAGGGGCAAAATAGTAATTTGGAAAAATTGTCCGAACTTGGGTTAATTCTGTGAAATACACTCCAGCTAAACCTATGAAATTAGGGAATCAAATTAGAAAGAGGCCAATTAGACGAAAAATCTATTTATACAAATAAAGTCACTCTTAAGGGTAAAAGTGCAATTAGAGAAAGTTTCAGGTAAAATTGCAATTATGCAAAAGTTATCTGAAACTTTAAAATACTATATTGTGATACTATTAAATGATTTTAGTGAATTTTAAAACACATGTTAATCACCAAATTCATGGATTAGAGGAATATTATAAGGGATTTCATTAAGGGTAAATTGATCATTTTCCACTAAAAGTGTTGACCAAAGTCCAATTGCACTAATCCACCTCACCTCCCTCATTTTCTTTTGAAATTTTTGGTCATCCCTCCCCCTCTAACAGCCAAAACTTGAACCCCCATCTCTCCCTCAACAGTTGATATAGCTTGAAACACAATTCCTTAAATAAGCCTCCAAATCACAAAGTGTGAGACAAAAGTTGTTCCTCTTCTTTTTACAAACACAACCCTACAACCATCTAGTCTTGGGAAGCATTGTTGAGGAGAAATCATCTCCTAAGTGTAGCGGAAATTTGTAGTTCTTGTACACAGGAGGAGTTGTGGTTTCTTCCAAGCTTGGGAAAACATTCCTTTGGTTCTTCCAAGTGATTTTAAGGTGAGAAACTTAAATTTTCTTGAATCTCATTATGGTTTGAATTCTAGGGTTCTTGAGTTGAATAGTAACCAACATGAGTAATGATGTGAATTTGGCTTAGGTCCTTTGAAAATAAATGATTACGAGGTGTGTTTAATGAATAATATGCAATGAAACCAACCCTTTATGCATTTCAAAATTTTGGTCATGAGTAAAGTGTGTGTTTGATGAGGGTTCCATGGTTGATGATGTTGTGATGTAAATGAGCCTTGGTTCCTTCACAAAACATGTTAGGAATATGTTCTTAACAAAGGAAAAACATTGGAACCATAAAGTGTAGGTGACTTGTGTGTTGTGATAACTCTCTTGTGGAGAGTTATTTTTAGGCTTTATTTACATGATTTAGTGCTATATTATATCATAATTCCCCTAGAATTGCATGATATTAGCATTAATCTTGTCTCTTTATGTTTTGATTGAGAAATATGCTAAGTATTGATATTTAATGTTATTTCGAGTATTAGAGCAATTCATTGTCTTTGTTGTTTTTGTTGCAGATCAGAGCCATAGCGATCGGGCTTAAATGAAACGATGTGTTAAAGGTGCACAAAGTAACTAACTTTTGAAATTCAAATTCAAATAGAAATATAAGGACGCTACAACACTGGATCAGGATAAGGAAGTTGCGCAAGATAAGGGATAAGCATGTATCATTTCCAATCCAAATATTTTGTCTAACAAGAAGATTAAATCAAGCTGAAGGGATAAACATCTATCATTTTTAGAGGTTATTTTCGAGGTAATTTAAATTAGAGGAACTACTTGGAGCCCAAGTTACTTTTCCTATATAAAAAGAGCCTACACATATCCAAAGGAAGCTTTCAAGCGGTGAAACACTTAGAGGATTTTGAGGTTTCGTTGAAAAAGATCCAACGAAGCAAGGGGTGAGGCTAGAGTCCAGTAGAGAGATCAATGGATTCAGTTGATCCCTACACTCCTCTGGTCGCTGAGAGACGATGGATGGTGGTGGAGCCAGCAGTTGCTGCGAGAGTAGAGCTACAGTATCGCCCATGTTTATTTTATCTTAGTTTTGTAGAGTCTTTATCTTTCTTTGTTGTTTCATTTATTCAAGTATGAGCTAGATTGTCTCTAATTAATTGGGTGAAACAGTGCCCGTATTGTGATGTAATCAATTTGCCTAAACTTTGCTATGTAATTTTCCATTAAGTTATTTAATAAAATGTTAAATTATCTTAATCTTGTAAACTAATCGAGAGAAAATGAAGGTGTTATGGGGTTTGGGCTATAGAGGTATAGACCTGTCTGAAAATTTATTAAACATTGTGGATTAGGTAATTAAAATTAGTTAATAATGGGTAGGAAAATCATCCACACCATAAAATCACATAGAACTTGCACTTAATGGAGCTATAACTATAAATCATAGAGATATAGGAATTAATATACATGTATTGTTGGTGAGAGCCCTTGCATACGTGAGTGTTCTGATTACTTATAGATAATTGCTATAGCATTGATACTACATTCTGGTAAAATTATAATATTGGAAAAATTCATCCTAATCTATCTTTTGAATACTTGAAAACTATCTTTTACTATGTTTTCTTAGTTAATCACTAGTCTTAGTTTAGTTAATCATTAGTTAGTAGTTTAATCATTAGTTAATTCAAAAATCATTATTGTTACTCTTATTGCTTCACTTAAAGTCGTAGATTTACTCAATCTCCGTGGGAACGATATTGGACTCACACATCCACTTTATTACTTGTGACACGTGCATTTACGTACTTGTGTGATTGATATATATATATATATATATATATATGTTTGATTGCGAAATTGCACAACATGTTGAGTCTTGGAAATGAATGTTATTTGTGACGTGTATGCTTGTTTGATGTTATAGTGTTGAGTCATATGAAGTTGTGCTGGGAGAGCTTCCATTGGAGCCACCAAGTGACCAAAGCTTTGGTTATTGAATTATCAAGAATTTGGCAAGTCTTCAACCTAAACCTTTGTTGCAAATTTGAAGTGTTGGCATGTGAATATATTGGTATATGTATGTTGAATTAATTAAGTTGCATTTGTGACATTATCTGATGTGGATAAGTTATTTGGGCTTGAAGCCTGGAATTGTCAAGTGTAGGGTAAGTTACCTAACTTCAACTTCTTGGTGAAATGTTAGCTATTAGATTGATGTTTCATGTATAGCATATATTTATGATCACATCCACACCTTTGGCATAGGTTCTCATAATGTGAGATTTGGTGATTGTTTCTTGGATACCAAGAAAGCTTGGATAGGAAGCTTACTAGAGGTAAGCTTTCAGACGTTGAGATTTATCCTCTGTTTGTTCTACCATACTCTAAGGGAGTAATGATTTATATGTGGTGTATGTAATTGCACTGAAATGTGGTATAATGCGTAGTATGTGTATTTGTTTTATGTGCTGTGTAAGAGAAACCATTTCTTATGCTTTATATGTTACAATATGAACTATTCCATGTGTAATGCATACTTTATGTGTTCTCTGGCCATCAGAATTGATTGTTAGATATGGACTTCCCTTAGGATCAGAGTTATTTGGATGTAATCCTGAGTAGATAAAACCTGAGAAAATGACTTAATACTTTTCTTGAAAGTACTCTGAGTATTTTGACTATGACTGATGGACCAAAGGAATGACTTGATTGATATTGATATATATATATATATATATATATATATATATATATATATGTGACAGAATCATCTTACACCAGTGTAAGAATAATAGATCTTACACCAAATCTTAACCATTGGTTTTCTACATCTAACGGTTAAGATTTATTAGGTCTCACTCATTAATTAATTTTTAATTTCCAATAAATCTCAACCGTTAGATGCACGAAAATCAACGGTTATGATCTAGTGTAAGATTTATTATTCTTACACCGGTGTAAGTTGATCTCATCCCTATATATATATATATATATATATATATATATATATATATATATATATATATATATTGCATGGATATATATAATGTATTATTTTTGTTTTATTGCTTATACACCTAAAGTGAACTTAGGGGTGGAGGAATCCGTCAAGGATCCTCTAATTTATTAAGATTGTTATCTCACTCTTTGTGGAAACCATATTTCCAGTACATATACTTATAGTGTTTGAGCATCATGTGGCAAAAGGCCAGGATAGATTGCTATTGCATAGCATGTGTAATTTGATTACCATTTTGTTGTAAATACCATGTAATCAGATGTATATGTCTTACTATGATGCTTATGTATTTTGGAGAGTAGCTATGCATATTTTGTATAAGACTTATATATTTTGATCAGAGAAACATGCATATGGACTTTATGCAAATCTATTGTATCAGTGATGTATGTCAACATTATAAAACGTATATATCTCGTTATGATACTACGCTAACATAAGATGATGCCAATCTTCGTGGAATTCACGAGATACCCAAGCCCAATTATTATTTACCAATTTTGATTTAACGTATATATATATTAGGTCCCTTAGTGCTGTTGCCAGTTGCTCCTTGCTAGTAGCCCAAATAAATTAACCTTACATAAGGCAGAATATAAATTCTAGTATAATTTTGTTAGAAATATTTAACTACTGAATTAAAAAATTTACGAATTTAACCACACAACAGTTTTAATCAATAATCATAATTATGTTGTTTTAAGTATATTACCTTTATCTTACGTAAAAATTTATCCATTCAATAAGTTTGTTTTTCAAAAATCAAAGATTAAACTGAGGCCCTACACCATTCGAGCACACGTGAGCTTTGCCCCTAGTTTGGACTTGCTTGGCTTGCAACTAAATAAATAGGGGTGCCACTTTTTTATATTAAAATGTAACCACCAATGATATTTGTTTTATAATTTTTCATGTTTTTCCTGAAAGTGTGAGATAAAATTCTCACTTACAAATGTATGAGGAGGTGATGCTTTCTTTTTCTCTTTTTTTTCCCTTTTAGGCCTCACCTACTTCCCAATTTGTGTAAATAAGAAATAACTTTATCTTCAACTCCTAAAAAAACGTAAAATTTTCTGTTATGAAGGAAAAACAGTAATAATCAAATCATGGACGATAAAAGTTTTCTGTCAGGGTAGACACATCACAATGTGATAATATTAAGGTAGACACATCACAATGCTTAATATATTGACTAAAAAATTAATATTAAGGTAGAAGTCAAATGCTACTTTGTATTTTTAAATAATTGAAGGGCAAAACAATCACAATATGATAAAATTTAATAGTATTATTTGAAATTATTACGAGTATTTTAAATATTTAGACATTATTAATTAAAAAAAATGTTAGGGATATTTTATATTTTAAAAAAAGATTAGGGGCATTTATAAAATATTTCCTTAGTACATATATAATGGATAGCATAGCACAGACTGCATAGTTAATGATTTTCTGCGTTGATTCAGTCAAATTGAATAAGATTAAAAGAGTCGCAAAGTGCTCTCTGGTAAATTTGCATATCCATAACTCTTTGTTAATCTAGTATAAGAAAAAAAGAAAGAGGTTATGATAATTATAATTATATACAATAAATGTGGAGATAAAAAATTGAAATAAATAAATAATAGTTTGGGTTAGAAATGAAATGGGAAAGAATTAAAATAATGAAAGAAGAGCATATATCCTCGAAGCTTTGGTCCACGAGAGCAAAGCAGAGTAGCCCTCCTTCCTCCCCCTCCCTCTCTCTCTCTCTCTCTCAATTCATCCATCACAATTCACACACAACACAACGCAACGCAACGCAACACAACATAACAGCAACGCTAACCAACCTCACATTCATTTACAGGTCAGGTCCTCTACTCTTCTCTTCCTCCTCTATTTTTGTTGTTTTTTATTCTCTTCCTGCAAAACCCAGAGAGGAAAAATCCTTCGTGTGAATGCCAGATCTTGATTTTCGTGGCAGCTTTGCAATTTTCTCCACATTGGGGTTTAAGCGCACAAACGAAATCTTTGCTTGCCACCCGTATTCCCCTTCATTTGGGAATTCCTAGTTTAATGCACCACTGCTGGATCGGTGTTCGAATTTGGCAATTTTGCTGCTTTCAGAGCTAGGCCTTATTACCTAGGTTTCTTCATTTTCGACAGAGAAAAATTGAGTTCACAAATTGTGCCCGAAAAGAAACAAGCATTTAAACTTGTGGGTTTTTTTATTTTATTTTGTTTTTTGATATTTTGTTTAATCAGGTATTACTACTTACAATACAAGGACACAAAATGACGCCACTTGCTTGTTCCTGATACGAGGTAAGCTTGCTTGAGCCATAATAGGCTCGCTCATTTTCAAAATATCATCTTTTTTTTTATAGAAAGAATGGTATGCATAGTCTTTATTTGGAATGACAGCTGTTGTTTTTGGGTTTTCTGAAGTCCTTTATGTGTTCCTTTCTGCTTTGAGTTTAGTTTGGTAGGGTCTCGGCTTGACCATGGCCGGCACAAACTCAGTTGATGTCATTTTGGATTTTCTCAAGAGGAATCGATTCACAAGAGCCGAGGCAGCTTTGCGCAGTGAGATCAATAACCATCCCGACTTAAATGGCTTCCTTCAGAAGCTTACATTGGAAGAAAAGGCCTCCTGCGATGTACCACAGAATAATAAGGGGAAGCTGGTGCTAGAGATTCAAGGGCCGGATTCTCATGATAGTGTTGAAGTTTCTAAAGAATTGATTGTGAAGGAAATAGAGTGTGGGACTTGTCGAAATTCCATGGAAAGCAAATGGAAAACTGCTGCTCCTTCAACGGTGGGTCGTAATAAATCAGATGAAGTGGCTGGGACAAGTGAAAAAAATCTCACTTTCTCTAAGCGTTCGGAGGACAGTATGCTTGATTTATACTCATGGAAGCTCATTCCCAGCAATGGTCCTGTGGAGCCTTACCAAAATGATGGTGGCAGTAGGGCAAATAATACTTTGAAGGTCTCTGTATCTCAACAATCAAAATATCAAACTAATGAAGCTGTTGATGCAATTGCAGCCAACACCAATTCAATGTCTGCGGAGGAAAATGCTGTGCTTGCTGATAAAAAATCCTCGTGGCTTGGAAGTAGTAGTAAAGCCTATGTGGATCCAAAGTATGACCTTGTGCAAAGCAGAGAAACTAGGGAACTTGATCGGCAGCTTAAATTTAATAGTTCATATCTTAAAGGCAACTTTGCAGATAATCCGTGGTCAAGAACTGATGAGAATGCAAATTCGTCTTCAGACTCCTGCAAAGATTGTTCTGTCAAGACTATCTTCCCCTTCCCGAAGAGGGATATGTCTTCGAGCTTTGATGGTGCAACTTATTCTGACAAAAAAGAGGAAAAAAGAAGGGTAGAAATTAGTGATATTAGGGAACCTAAAAAAGAGCAGGTGGATGAATTTGGGAGAGCTATTTACTTGGGCAAGTCACAAGGCAGTTCTGAACAGAAGTTGATTGGCAGCATAAGTTTTCCTCTTGTGCCTGAAAATCAGAAAGAAGAGTTTCCTAGGCTTCCTCCAGTTAAACTCAAGTCAGAAGATAAGCCCTTGGTTGTTCATTGGGAAGAGAAGTTCGAACGGGATGGACCAACTTCAAAACTCACTGGTCCTGACAGCACTTTGCTTATCGGTTCATATCTGGATGTACCTATTGGACAAGAAATTAACCCTTCAGGTTAGCTTATTTAGAAATATTAATTCTTTTTTATATGATGACAAATGTTTTTTGTTTTTCAATTAGCAGTTTCCTTTTTGGTCTCAAATTAGTAGCTGCATTTGTTGGTTGGTTATGATCTATGATGCACGGACACTGACACGGGACACGACACGATACGCCGACACGTTAATTCTAAAAAATGGCATATTTCGACACGTTGGGACACGTTTTGATATTAAATAATATTTTTAATATATATAATATAATTTATATTTAATAGATATAACAGTCCATAATAAGTCATATAACCAATCAAATATTCAAATTTCATAACATAAATATAAATAAAAATATTTTTTCGTACCTTGTTAATTTTTTATGTCAAATTTCATAACAGAAAAAAATTTATTTATAGATTTTTTTATTTTTATTTTTAATTAATAAAATAAAATTAAGACTAAAAAATAAAAATAAAAAACGTGTCCGAGCGTTGATCACGTGTCCAAAAAAATTGACTGCGTGGCGGAAAAACGTGTCGGAGTGTGTCGGAGAGTTGACTACGTGTCCCAAAATATTGACCACGTGTCGGACACGCAATTTTTTTTTTTAAGAAGCGTGTCCGTGCTTCTTAGGTCATGATGATAGCTTATTTTGTGTGCTTAGCGGAAACTTTTCCTTGATCTTTATGTGTCAATCAAGAGTTTCAGTAGTTGAGTCTTAAATCTATATTGTTTAAGAGTATTAGATATTTTAGCTAATCAAGACTCAATTGTTCTATATGTTAATTAAGCTTATAAAACTCCAATCTCTTAATTAGGGTTCTAAGGAGGTATACGTTGTCCAAAAGTCAGTCAAAAATCATTAATTAAGCCACTTAAGGGTCCAGTCTGTTCTATATACATAATGGGTCGGGTCTGTAAATAGTGATTCTCTATGTAATTTTCTACCGAATTCACAATAGTGTTCAGTGAAGTACATTCAGAAAAATTCAGAAAATATATTCTGGTGTTTCGTTCTTTTCACTTTGGGTTAAGAATTTTAATCATATTAGATTTCTATCCAAGGAGATGGACTCCTCCCACACGTCCCCTTTTTATCCTATATGCCTACCCAACCTATTTACATATTGGATCTTGATAATGAGTGTCCTAGAGCCACTGGTTAAAGACTCTTAATTACTCGAAAAAGAAAGTAATAAATGTTTTTTTTGGGAGTGGATCCTCTCATGTGCTAATTAACATGACCATGTCATGTGGGACAATCATAACCATACATGGGTGAGTGAATGGTGACAAGGGAGGAGAGAAAAAATATAAGGATAGGAAGTTACACAATCATTACCGTTGATTTAATTATTAATGGTTAAGATCCTCCCACATGACATGATCATGTTAAATTACACGAGAGGATCCATTTCCGTTTTTTTTGTTCTAATGTACTAAATTTTTAACTTTGCATTTAATACTTTCTACTTTTGTTTACTTTGTTTTTGTGTGATCGCAATTGAGCTAAAAGGAAAATTCTATAGAACAATAGTAAGGTCGACAATGTTATATGGAGCTGGATGTTGGCCAACACATAAGGAACATTAGTATAAAATGGGAGTAGCGAAAATGAGGATATTAAGGTGGATGTATGGTTATACAAGGATGGATAAGATAAGATAAGAAATGAAAATATTCAATGAAAGATAGGAGTAGTACCGGTGGTTGAAAAGATGAAAGAACATATATTGAGGTGCTATGCGAAGACTCCTAGATGCTTTTGTAAGAACAAAAATTTGTTAACAAGAGCTTAACATGAAGAGAGGAAGTGGTAAACCGAAACATACTTGGAGAAAGGTAGTAAAATAAGAACTAATGGAGTGGGATATAGATTTTAGGACAGATTAGAGGAAAGCTATTAGTATTGTGGAGGGTTAGACCCTTTTTTCTTCCTATGTTCCAGATGGTTCATTTTTAGACCTTTTCCATTATATTTCCCTTTATTTCTTTCTTTACCTCTCCTTTTTCTTTTCTTTTCATCTTTTCTTTTATTTCTCTTTTCCCCTCGCAATTTTTCTTAACTTATTTCTTTATTTGTGTATTTTATTCATTTTTCTTTATTTTTATCTATCTATTTCTTTAATTTTTTATTTTTACTTTCTTATTCTTTTCTTTTTTTCCTGTTATGTATTTTTCTCTTTTATGTATCTTTATTTGCACTTTATTTTATTTTATTTTTTAATTGTTTATTTCTATTTTTTAATGTCTAGTGTTTCTTATATAATTTTTAATTTTATTTTTATCCTTTTTTCATCAATCTTTTCGTAATTTTTATTTGGGTTCATTTGCCACCAACTCCAACTTGTTTGGGATAAAGGTATTGTTGATGTTGTACTTTTGTTTCGTTAGCCAGTATCCAAAGGCACTTGTTGGTAAATCCCTTGCACATTTCCTTTTCCATCCAACCCATAATTTAAATAAACTCGTAGGCTGCATCATTTTGGAATAGGAATCTAGTGTGTACTAATTTCATTTGATCATTATCTGGCACCCTTGATGTTTTGTGGTCTATTTTTTTTTTTTTAAGATCCCATGTTTGATAATTTGACATAGTAATTCATTTTAAACTGCTAGTTGAACCACCACAGAGGATTGCTCTCTAAATAGCTAATAAAAGATAGGAATTTGATTTGGCTTTTTCTGTTTGGGACTTGGGAGGATATCTTATCTTCCTCATGGCTGTACTTCCCCCTTTTTTTTCTGTCAAAAAATATATATTCTTGTAAGAAGGGTTGGCCAAATTGTCAAAAGTTAAATGCTTATATTCAATTATTTATGATTTGGTGATTGTGAAAAAAGGTATTAATTTGAATATAAAGAAACAAATCTTTCTGCTTGACATGATGTGGGATTTCACTTTCTTTTTGGTCTCTATGAATGCTTTTATATTTTAAGAGCTTCTCAATATTGATACAAGAAATAAGCAAAGTTTGGTTCTCAGTTCTTCCACTGTTCTCTTCCATTGTTCATGTTCGATTAAGAGAAGTTGCATGAAATGGATCGTGCATAATTTGAAAAAGAAATGTTAGCCCCACCTCCCCCAAGGAAAAAAAAACTTACGGGGAAATGGTAGTACCATTGTTTTTTCCACTGGATGGAAATTTTTGCCGTGGGTTGAATACTCCATCTAGAATCTAGAGTTGATCCTAGGTCTGGTCAACTTTCTAGGGACATCTAACTATAACTGATCGATGATTTACTTCTCAGTAACTGATCTTATTGTTGTGATACATTTATTTCTGATTTTTGAATCTGATTTCGTATACTTAATTATTTGGTTGATACACTTGATCTGAAGGCTGGCTTTGACTTTTCATATTTGCTTCAGGCATGAGGAGGGCTGCGGGGGGCAGTTGGTTATCTGTAAGTCAAGGTATAACAGAGGATACATCTGATCTTGTATCAGGTTTTGCAACAGTTGGTGATGGGTTGAGTGAATCTGTTGACTATCCAAATGAATATTGGGACTCCGATGAATATGATGATGATGATGATGTTGGGTACATGAGACAACCTATTGAGGATGAGGCGTGGTTTTTGGCGCATGAAATTGATTACCCTAGTGACAATGAAAAGGGGACTGTACATGGAAGTGTTCCAGATCCTCAGGAAAGAGGTCCAGCCAAAGATGAGGATGATGATCAATCTTTTGCTGAGGAGGATTCGTACTTCTCTGGTGAGCGATATCTTCAAGCAAATAATGTTGAACAAGTCACAACTTCTGATGATCCTATTGGTCTAACGGTTACTGAAATGTATGGAATGACTAATGATAATGATTTAATGGCTCAATATGATGGACAATTGATGGATGAAGAAGAACTGAACCTTTCACATGCAGAATCTGTCTGGCAGGGCTTTGTCCCTCAGGCAAATGAAGTCATCATGCTAGGAGATGGGAAGGTTTTGAATGATAGTGTAAGATCACGACTAGAGGATATCTGTATGGACGATGAACAACATGGTTCAGTTAGGTCAATTGGGGTGGGAATCAACAGTGATGCTGCTGATATTGGTAGCGAAGTGCGTGAAAGTTTGGTTGGTGGTAGTAGTGAAGGGGATTTAGAATATTTCCGTGATCGTGATGTTGGGCTTGGTGGTTTGAGACACTCTCATCATGATGTGGATAAGAATTCTATTAAAAAATCAAACAAAAATAAGAAGAAAAATGATAAGAGTGAGTCAAATAAATATGTGATAGGAGGTGATAGGGATGCACCGTTGAAGATGAAAACTCATAGTGATGGTAACTTCTCTTTTCCCCTCTCTTTGAGGGATGGCCAGATGATTCAGGCTGCCTCCAGTAAGTCCCAGTGGTCAAATAACTGCAATGCAGATGAAACTGATGATTGTCTTAATGCATTTGTGGGATCTGATGAAATGGTTGCTTCATGGAGGCAGAAGAGCAGTGATTCTTCACCCGTTAAAAGTTCTAGGGACGAGAATAATGCTAACACAATAAAATCCATAGACTCTTCTCCAACAACAGTCTCAAATTATGGATATTCTGAAAGAGATCATGTCAAGCTAGAAGAGGATGACAAGGTTGGAGATGCAAGGGAAGATGATCTAGGGGCATCGCTAGAAGATGAGGAGGCTGCTGCTGTGCTAGAGCAAGTAAGGCAAATAAAGGCCCAGGAGGAGGAATTCGAAACCTTCAATCTAAAGATTGTGCACAGGAAAAATAGGCATGTTTTCAATATATATATATATGTGTGTGCGTGTGCGTGCTATAGTTATTAAACATTATATTTACAGGTCAAGATATACATCTCCAATAAACATGCTTAGTATTTTCATCAATTTACAAATGACTTGAAATTAGTATTTTAGAAGGTTTTTAAAACTATGAAACTGTGATATCAGCTCTGTGCATCATTCCATTCTGTTTTGAGTTTTTATATGTGCAACAGTATCTTTTTTATTCACACACTCTCTTCTCTTTACTTACGAATTCCGATAATGGTAATTGTAAATCTGTTGGTTGCATTTCATAACAGTCATATTTCTTAACATGCAGACACTTGACTAAGAAACTCAAACATGTCTACACAATATTTTATGAATTTTCGGTCCTGTTAACAATGGACAGTAGGATAAAACTAGGATGGCAGCAGATCTACTGTTTCCCTTTTGATTTTTTAAAACCACAGTCACTTTCCTAAAGCTTTATTCAGAACAAAGTGAGTTATTTACAAGTCCATGATGAATAAAATGCATTATTTATTGTTAGTAATTTTGTAAATATATATATCTTCCTTCATTTATTAGTCATGAAATTTGCACTGTCAATATGTTTATGTGTATAGCAATCCTGGCTTAGTTTTCTTATAATTTAAGTTGATGATATTATGCTTGTTCCTGTGATTGTGAGTGATCATGTGCTCTGGACTAGTTGGTGATTGTTGTGAATGCCTAAAGCTGCTTTAATCCTTAATTTTTATTCTTGTTTTTCAAGAAATAAAGAAGCTTCTGTACTTGTGAGACAGTATTGCATACTTGTCTCTATCAGGAAACCTCTTTCAAAGATACTTTTAAATGGTGGGGGTTCTTTTCGCTTCATGGGAAAGATATGTGCTAATGAATGCCCAACTTTTTAAGCATTTTGTTTTTGAACCTATGTAAAAGATCTTAATGAGCTTTTGATGATTTCTTGTTTGCAAAGTGGGTATGTGTTACAGATATACACCATGTGCGCTTTAGTACACTGTTGGTTACAGTAGTTAGTCCAGTAGAGTTCTGTTTGTAACTGAATCTGTTGTATTGTCAACAGCCATGTGCTTTAGCACACTGTTGATTGCAGTAGTTAGTTCAGTAGGGTTCTGTCTGTAACAGAATCTGTTGTACTGTCAGTTGAGACAGTTGTCATCTACTGTTTATATATAAGAGTTCAAAACAAGAGTCAATTGAATAATAGAAAATTTAGATTAACAGAAAACATACTCTGTTTCTCTCTGCTCTCTCCATCATTTTCTCACCTTGTAATATTATGATTTTATCTGCTCAGAACTGGCTTTGAGGAGGACAAGAATTTCCATGTTGTTTTAAATTCCGTAATAGCTGGAAGGTATCATGTCACTGAGTATCTGGGATCTGCTGCATTTAGCAAAGCTATACAAGCTCATGATCTGCACACAGGCATGGATGTTTGTGTTAAAATTATAAAGAACAACAAGGACTTCTTTGACCAAAGCCTGGATGAGATCAAGCTTCTCAAGTATGTCAATAAGCATGATCCTGGAGACAAGTATCACATTCTTCGGTTATATGATTATTTCTATTATCGAGTAAGTGGATATGCTATCAAACCTGTTAATACTATTTCATTTTGCTTTCAAATCAATCAATTGTCATTTTAGGCATATCTACACTTTTTCCAGTTACTTATATTTTTCCTTTTTGTACTTTCTTGTTTCTACATCATCCTTTATCTGGACTTTTATTTATGCTGTTGTCACCAAACATATTTAGGTGATGTTGAGTACTACTGCTAGTTATTATTGTTTCTTCTATATATCCTCCTGTACAATACCATATTTCTCAATTGTGTTAGTTTTTTCTAAAAACCACGGAACTTAATGTTTTTTAGTTTTGGCAATTTTCAATGTATTAATGGTGATGGTATAAACTATCAGCACTGATGCTAAACTTTGACAAGAATTCAATTTCCTTATCAGGACTATCTATCTAAAGTATGTTCAACGTGATGGGAATTAGAAAGAAATATCTGTTAAATGGTGGTAATCTGACTTTGTAGTCTGTCTGTCTTATAAATTTGCTTTTGCCAATTTACGAAAGGCCTATTTTTTAAAAATTGGACACCATTTTGGTCAGCTTACTAACTATTCATTCTTTTCCTGTTGTATGGCAGGAACATTTGTTAATAGTATGTGAACTACTTAAAGCAAACTTATATGAGTTTCATAAATTTAATAGAGAATCAGGGGGTGAGGTGTACTTCACAATGCCAAGATTGCAGGTTTGTGGTGTGCCGTTTATTTCATAATGTTTAGTTTTCATCTTACTTTTTGTCATTGTAAACTCTTCTGGATTGATGTGTGCAGTCTATTACCATTCAGTGTTTGGAAGCACTTCAGTTTTTGCACAGCCTTGGACTAATACATTGCGACTTGAAGCCAGAGAATATTTTGGTTAAAAGCTATAGCAGATGTGAGGTGAAGGTCATTGATCTTGGAAGTAGTTGTTTTGAGACAGATCACCTTTGCTCTTATGTTCAGTCAAGGTCCTATCGTGCTCCTGAGGTTATTTTCGGACTTCCATATGACAAGCAGATTGATATCTGGTCACTTGGCTGCATCTTGGCAGAACTTTGTACTGGCAATGTAAGAATAATAGATTATCAATGTATTTCAAAATGGCATAAAGGTTGATATGCAGTTTTCTCATTTTAGTACCTAAAATTAATCTCAGCCATTAAATTTCTCATGTATAAAAGGTAATGTTCGTACCGCTTCCTGTCTAAAGGTTTACTTTGCCAAAGTTATGGTCACCACTTAATCCTTTTTAAGTAAGGCTATTTGTTTCTCCTTGATGATGGCATCTTTCAGATACTGAAGTTTCATGCTTAAATAAACTTGGATTATCCCTGCAATGAAGTGATGTCAAACTCATTGGCTGTGCACTGATAGCTTTCTGTTATTTAGTTTGGGCAATGATCTTCAAGAATACCAAAATTCCTCTTGAACCATGGAGGATCTGATTGTGATTATTCAAGTGTTTTTTGTTTCCGCACCATTCATGGGCCAAATGATAATACATCAGGATACATTGACTTTCTTTGCAGTCGTCGGATTGTTATTATTAATTTTTGGGCAAAAACTGTTGCAGAATTTCAATGTTTTCTGGAGAGTGCTTTCTTTTATTGGTTAAATACATGCATAATTTTCTGTTTCTTCCTCAGTGACACTAAACTAAGTATGTTGTAGGTTCTCTTCCAAAATGATTCACCTGCAACATTACTTGCTCGGGTGATTGGGATCATTGGTCCAATTGATCAAAGTATGCTTGCAAAAGGACGGGACACATATAAATACTTCACCAAAAATCATATGCTTTATGAACGGAATCAGGTAAAAATAGTATTTCTAACTGTGTACCAAGTGGACTGGCCATCAATCTGGAATGTTGATGTTGGTTATGCTTGTTCTGGGGTTTTTTTTTGTGGTTTAGTTAAATTGACTTATTAGTTATTGTTCAGACACGTTAGCCATTCGATATTTTAGTTCTTGCTATGTTTATATTGAAAATACTGTTGCCTCCGCACTTTTGACTTGAATAATTTTGACAGTAAATGTACTGTTCACAAATCTACAGGAAACCAACAGGTTAGAATACTTGATTCCGAAAAAGACATCCTTGAGGCATAGATTGCCAATGGGAGACCAAGGCTTCATTGACTTTGTTGCTCATTTGCTTGAGATCAACCCTAAGAAGCGGCCTTCTGCATCTGAGGCCCTGAAGCACCCATGGTTATCATATCCTTATGAACCCATATCATCTTGAAATATTTGGAGGGTTCTTTTTGTTGATAATGTCACCTAGTTGGGTTAGGTTCATCGTTGAGAGGGAAGGCCCCACCCATCCATCCTCGCTGCTTTTCACTATCTATATTAAAGATGAAATGGAAAGAGTTGGGCCCTTTCACATTCTTGCATATTGCATTTAAAGGTGTTTTGGTTTTGTGGGAAATGTCTGTCTCTCCTTCCCTATCCAAATTGTATTCCAGTGATGAACCATATGATCATTGATGTAATTTTGCATGTACGGTGTAATGTTAGGTTTTTGCTTTCTTTGCTTTGCTTTGGTCTGCTGGAAAGGGAAATCTTAAAATCTTGTACATGGTGTGATAATTCTTAGGCTATTTAGTAATATTTTTGTGAAATAGATACTTATCCAATTTTGCATGGTGTGACACCAACGTTGGGAGCACCAATCAAGATTAAAGCAAAGCTACTGACAATGTGAATCATTTAACTCATGCTTGTGTGGAAATTGAAACTCAAATTGCCTATACGTTCTGTTGGGAGCAATCAAATTGTATCTTGACAGTGTAAGGAAGGAGTACTGTTTGGTTTTACTAATGGTATTAGGGTTTTGACAGCAAATGGGTTCAACTAAGGATGTGAACTGTGGAGGACATCTTCAGGCATATAATCATTAATCATATAGTTATTTATTTATCTTTATCTTTCATTTATTATTTCCTGCTTAATTATTTTTTTCTCTTCTATTTATTTTTTTTGTTTTTGTCCCCTGAATTTTTTATTTGGGTTTATCGATTATGGATTCTAATTAATTTGGGGTAAATGTGATGTTGACGTTAATATTGATATTGCTATTCATGTTTTCGTCTTTCACAATTTTTCAATGAGATTGCTGTTCTTTATTAACGTTATGGGTGATTTAAATAATTTTTTTTCTTTTTGTTTCATATCACTAATTAATAGTTGTAAATAAAATACATCAGAAAATTTTGACAAATAAAATACACACTTAATATTTTCTTATAAGTTATCCGAGAAAAATGATTCTATATGAACGTGGGGAGGAGAACTTTTCACAATATTTTGTAAATCATATTTAAATTTCACACCATCTGTAATGAGTCAAAGAGCGGTTCATGGTGCTCGTGGATGATTTATATATTTATTTTTGGAGTGATAAGCTCGAATCTTATTCTTATTTAAATAGTAGTGTAACATCGTAACTTTTGCAGCTAATTGTTGAATTGGCTGAGTTTGATAGAAAGAGGGGGTCATCTGATTCAGATATAGTCAACTACAATAGCGTTTACGCATAGTATTTGTCAAGAAAAATCAATGTAAACAATATCACTTATAGTATTGGAAGGTAATTATATATATATATATATATATTTCAAACAAAAGTATGACCACCTTATAAATGTAAAAGAAGAAAAATCATGATAAAATAAAATAATATTGAAAGGACTTAAAACGAAAGCAAAACAACTGTGAATATGACATGACGATCAATGTCAATGATTCCTTCCAAGTCTCATTGCCAGCATTTGGTAGGGCCAGCGGTGGTTCAGTGTGATGGTTTTGTTGATCAAAGATGGCATCTCAGGCTCAGCTGCATGTATTGGGGTGATGAAGTGTCTGGTTTACATGAAATGCGCATGCCAGCAAGGCAATTAGCCAATTACCTGTATTCACTCTGATAAATATATAGAAATGATGTGAAAATAATGTACATTAACCACATAGCAGGGCATTTGACCAACACTTTTTAAATGGAAGTTTAACATCGGATTTAACTTACATTAATACTGAGTTTTTTTATCATTTATTTTTCCCGTTATTTTTTCATCCACATTCACCTCTATGGTGTTAAAATTTCAGCAAATATATCTATTTTTCTCTTGTGGGCAATAAAAAAATCATAGAAGATAAGTGATTAAAAATATAAGCACATGAGAATAAGTGAAAAATAAAATAAAATCAAACACGGGGATAAGTGATTAAAAGAAGAAGAAGAAAAGCAGGGGAGAAATGATTATGGAGGAAATCACAGTGGGTATTTTGACACACTCAAAACATATATATTAGAGATAGTGTTGAAAGTAGAGTAAAACAACAATGCCGCAAGAAATACTATGCTATTTTTTTTTTTGGTATGCTATACTATGCTATTTTAAGTTACATAAACACTTGCCAAATATAACAAATATGGACTTAAAGGGCAAAGATATCTATGATGCATTTCAATATTATTCAATAAATAAAAAATAAAATAAAACAAAAAGTAGGTTCATTCCAATATGGAGCAGCATGAAGTTTTTAACTAATCATCAATCTGCATAACAAAAATTATTCTACAAACAAATACAAGTTTGACAAAGAAATATTTATCATTAATAAAATAAGAGATTTATATATATATATATGTGTGTGTGTGTGAAAATATGAAAAAATAATAATTTAAAAGATAAGGAAATATTTTAATTATAAAAAATATTAATTATGGATATGTTTTCTATTTTTCTTTTTTCATGAAAAAATGCACTTTTAATTAAGAAAATAAAAAGATAAAGGTTATGACTAATCCCAAGTCTAAGGGATCAATATGGATATTTTTTAAAAATAGGATTGATTTGGTAGTTGAAATTCATTCTAAAAATAAAATATGGAAATAAATCATAATTTTCGTAAACTTATGATAGTATTATTCAAAATATTTTTATACCGTAGAAATAAAAAGCGAAAAGTTCAAAAATCTCAATGTGATTTCTTCCAGAATCATTTATCCCTATGTACTTCTATTTTTAATCTCTTACCTGTAGTTTTTTTTATTGCTCACGGGAGCAAAATAGACATATTGCTAAATTTTTATGAGTGTTAGATGTGGACTTGAATGAAAATAATTACAAGGAAAATAAAAGCAAGTATATAGGGGTTATTCAGACAGAAAACAAAGAAGGGTTTTTCAATTTTTTTTTTTATATTGCAGATAAGTTATTTGCATTTATTCCCAAAATAACATTGTTTTGAGATTAAAATATTAAAAAATTATAATTATAAATACTATAATAACCCTGAAATAAATTAATATTACAAAAACATCATGATTTCCACTCTAAAATTACGTCGTATTGGATTTACTGCAGATAGCTTATCTGCAGTAACTGCAGAAAAAACAAACCCTTATATTATTAGGTAAAAAGCTGGGGATATTTTTGTTGCGCCCAGTTCCTAATTAAGGAAATAATTAATTTAAAAAGGGATAAAGAGCTAATATATAATTTCAGTTGCTCAAATGTTGTGATTAAACTTACAAAAACTTGAGATTAGGCAAATAGACCAGAAAACTTGGAATTGGTTCATTTAAGTTGTTGTTATGGAAATCACTGCAATAGTCGTGAAGGTTAATTATGTGTGTAAATAGATTAGGATTACCTAGAATTTAGTTTAAATAGGTCAAATTTGTATAAAATATTTTAGGTCCGGCTTATTTTGTTGGTATCGTGTAAACTCAAATTATAAGTCTGGTCTGATTTATATTTAAAAAATAAAAACTTTGGCCAAGACCTGTTAACATGTTTAAGCATATTAAGCATTCAATAACTAAAAAAATAATTAAAATAATACTATTATATTATTCATAATTATTAAATAATAATTTAGTTATTTTATTTAAAATAAATAATATAATATAAATGCCGAAAGCTTATAGGCCCCACAAGCAAAAGAAAACTCATGACTTAAGTTCTAAATAAGCTTTTTTTAGGCCTCGGCCTATTCCATTTAACAATATATAATAAGTCGAGTCTGATATAATGTAAGTCGAGCCCTAAGCTCCTGTTAGAGTGGCTGACCTAGTGGCAGACAAGGAAGCACAGACACTTGTAAAAATAGGAAGAGTCGGGTCCGACACGCTCCGACACGGCGACACGCTCCGACACGGTGTCGGACACGCGGTTGACTTTTTTCGACAGTTGACCATTCCGACACGCGAATTTGACCGTGTCCGACACGGTCAAATGGCATTTTCGTAATTTTTTTTTAATTTTTTTTTAATTTTTTTTAAAAAAATTATTTTTTAAAAAAATTTTATTTTTTTAAAAGTTAAAATATATTAATAAAGCTTCCACCTGATCATATTAATTTTATCTTTTTGTCTTTTTTCCCCTTAAGTAGATAAGAGATCATCTCAACATCATTGTTGTCAATTCCTATCACGCTCTTGTTGTATCTTCTTATCTTTGATCTCTCTCTAATATGATTTGATCTCTCTATCTGATATTATATCTCTCTCTCATCTCAGTTCTTATTTATTTTATTAAAGCTTCCATCTTTATAACGTGTTGATGGGTATTATTAATTTAATTTCATTTTTTTGTTAAATTATTAAATATTAAATGAAATATACCCTATATAAATTAAAAATATTATTTAATATTAAAACGTGTCCCAACGTGTCGAAATCCATAATTTTTTAGGATTGACGTGTCGGAGTGTCGTGTCGTGTCGTGTCACGTGTCGTATCGGTGCTACCTAGGTGGCAGACTTGCTTTGTTGTCGGTGTCTGCACGTGCAGACATGAACTTTCAATTTTTTTTTTTTTTTTTTTTACAAAAGGGATAATTAGGTAAGATTAAAGCTTTTTTTTGGGTCGTTAATAAAAAATACGGTTCCCACATTCGTCCCTTACAAAAAAAAATAGTCCTGAGATCCCTAAGAAATTTAAAGTAGACCCATTTAGTTGAAATCGTGGTCTCTCACAAATTCAAAAAGACCCATATTAGTCCCTCAAAAGGACTAAAATGGATCCACTTTAAATTTTATAAATACCACGATACTAATTTTTTTTATTAAGAACTAAAGTGGAGACCGTGTTTTTTTGTTAGGGATCCAAAATGGGCTTTACTTAAAGGTGAAATAAAGATGAAAAAATTCCTTCTCCAGTTCTCGTACTTCTCCTCGCATCATCGACCGGCCATGTTTTTTGGGGTTTGCTTTCAGCTTTTGTGCCTTATTCTAACTTAAAAAAAGAGGATTGATATTAGGTTTGACATTCTCAAATGAGTTAATCTCTAGAGATGAGGGCTTTCACTGTGATTTTGTATGCCTTCTATGTAGATAGTGTTGACTTTTTTTATTCACCATTATAAATAGAACGATAATGTATGGATGTACAGGAGTATATTCTCATATTTGTTTTGGAGAATTGGTAAGATTTTTTTGAGGGAGGGGAGGAGTAAATAATTGGTCAAACTATTATCTGCAGCTTGTTATGGAAGCAACTAGATTCTGATCAGGTTCATAACCTTGTATATAAAAGTTGATTTAAACTTTCTTTAAAAAAAAAAAAATTTTGGAACGCTGCCCCGACCCTTCCAATTAAATGTGCAAACATAATCAAAACTTTCTAGATCCGCCGATGGCCGGCCCTTTTAAACTCGTAGGCACAGAAGAGATCGAGATCATCTAGTGGATTTAGTTATGCAAATCACTCATCTCACATTGTCTCCAATGCAGTCATGGAATTGTTACTGACTGGCCAAAACTTCTGAGATTCCTGTTTAGGTGCAAATAGAAAAACGCCTTGATCGAATTCAAACCTCAGTTTTCTGTCCTTATATAAATAATTGTTGTACCAAGAATTAATTCACCAAACATCTCCTACAGCAGTTTCTTCCCA